GTCATTTCTGATTTTCGAATTATTCAACAAATCTAGAGTTTCAAATCCATCTATTATCAAAATAATAGTTGCAAAAAAAGAAAGTAACAATGATCCGTCTTTGTGCATGCATTTTTTATGGAAAGTTGAAATGAAGAAAAATGAATTTTGGTTGTGGGATGGAGGAAAATTGCGCTCTTAGAAAAAGTATATGCATATATAAAATTTTGACATCAATTTACCAAAATTTGATTTTAAAAGGAACATTCAAAAGTAGGAAATGAGAAAATATTTTGAAACAAATGATATAATATCAAATCAAAAGAAAGAATAGATGAAAATAAACAGCCTCTTCAAGAGTTGATAAAAGAGACAGGAGTGTATATCCTGCTGAACCACAGCCTCTTCAAAAGTTGATAAGAGATAGTAGTATTGCTGAACCACAGCATCTTCAAGAGTTGATAAGAGATAGTAGTATTGCTGAACCATAGCCTCTTTAAGAGTTGGTAGAAGAGATAGCAGTGTGTATGTACTGTTGAACTATTTAGAAATAATTATTTTCAGGTGTGGAAGAAGAGGAAGATTAGAAGTGAGAAATGAAAATCGAAATTTTAGTCAACATGATTAAGTTTACCAAAGTGCCTATGAAATTATACTTTCTTCCAAGCAATTTCTGTAGGATAATTTCATGGAATGTGACGTATAATTGTCAAAATAAATGTCAACGAATTTTCAAATTCAAATTAGGAAAAAAAAAGTCACATTTTTCACTAAATAATATTTGCTGTAAGCAAACAGACAACCTCACTGATATATAATAAAATATTTTATAGCCATTGCTATATTATATTAAATGAAATTTGCATGCGAGAAAAAAATCCATGTTAATTTCGTAGAGAAATGTTAGAAGAAGTGGACAGCTGGTGACATTGGCGACATTTTGGAATGATTAGCAATGACAAGTGTCAACATCTGTAGCACCAATGATTTCATTAGTTTTCTTATGCTTCATTAATAGGAATAGTTGCTTCAAAAATTTATCAAGGAGATCATTCATCACGCGACAAAAAAAAAAGAAGCATTCATCATGCTTGTCCTCATTAATTTCCCAAGAATGCATGGATTTGATATTTGCACTGAATTAAAGGCGCAAAAAGACAAAGCTTAATATAATCCTGTTAGCTATTAGCAATTCCTTTCTTTTATGGGAATATTATTAAAATATAAATTTTGGGATTTCCGAAAATTAAACTAATTTTTTGAAATTTTAGAAGTTTGTAAACAATAACTTTTTAAAAAATTCTTGTAAAATAACAATTTCCCATTCTAAAAATACTAATGGATACAAAAAAAAAAAAAAAAAAAATCCTTTTGTTATTTGATAGGAAATAATTGCCTTAAATGCTTCTACTCATTATCGCCATTTAATTAATCTTTCCCTCTCTTTTTTTTCCCCTTCCCTCTCCTCTCTCTTCTATCTTATCTATTCTTTTATTCCTATTACACATCTCTCGAATAAATTATTTATCCTATAATTATAGAAAATCACTTAATTCTTCTTTTTATTATCTTACGGTATTGTTTATTCGAAGACTGATTTGAAAAATCAAAGAGGCCAAAGCACAAAAAAAAAAAATATGGAAAAAGAAAAAGAGGACTGATAAGAGTAATAATAATTTGTTCAGCACGATATTTCAAAAGCCAAATTTATTGATCAAAAACTGATAACATTCATTATGATTGAGATATACTATTAGGTGATAGAGCCATGGATGTTGTCACATCGAAGGATGTTTATTTTTAAGTAACTTTAAGTAAATAGTATTTTATAAAATTGATTTTAGCTTAAGATTAGGATAAAACTTGAGGCAAAAATAATGAATTCATAAGATGTCACAGTTGAAAAAGCTGAAAAACTGCTTGAAAGCATAGCGATATGTGTAGGCAGGTTTAGATTAATTAGTGATGAAAAGAGAAATATATGGGACATGAAGAGGGACAAGCCAGGTAATTGTTCTCATGGCTCATTAAAACTACTGAAAAAAAAGGATGAAAAAGATAAACAGGAAAAAAAGTGGACAACTTTTCTTATTTAAATTAGAGAAATCAACATGGTAGATATGTGCTACATTTTGTTATTATTCAATCCATACAAGTTCACAGTTTATTAAGCTGCTAATTAGCCAAAATTTTGAGAAGAATATAATTGATGTGAAGTCGCAATTTTTCTTTTTTTTTTAATAAATTGACGGTAAAATAAAATATTTTGAAACTTTTCAAATTATTTTAAAATTTCGTGATAAATAATCTAATCAATGGATGGGATATTTGATGTTTGTTTGAAATATTTGGACAATATATATTAGCCTCAAACAGCAGCAATATAACAGATCAAATTTAAGGTTAAACCAATATAGCAATATTGATTTATGTTGACATGTAACGCTGAAATATTTTGGGTATGACAGATTAACAGTATAATCATGATCCAAGTAAATCTGAATTGACCTTTCTGTTACATTAAAATGAAATGATTTTTGCAATACCGATTGATTCTCGATTAAATATATTGGTAATATTAATAAATTATTAAAACTATAATTGATCAATACAAACGGCTAAAAACATCTAAAATAATTAAAAGTTAAAATTTTTAATTTCAATCTTTAGCAATTCCAATTATAGCTTATCAGTTCATCTATTAAGTATTCGTTGATGTATTAAATTTAAGAAATCTTATAAAATCTTACAAATTATATTTTTATTACAATTACTTAACAATTTTATTTGATTAATATGAATTAATTCCATGCAAATTGATCAAAACATATTTCGCATAATTTCTCTCTCTTTTTTTTCTTTTTTCCAATAAGCCGCTTTTTTACAATCAGTATTTGATGATAACCGTCATATTCATAAGAGATGTGTATTTATTTATTTAAATGAGGCGCAGACTGGTACGGCATATCCAACATTGGTTGGGATGATTGAAAGTAACTCTCATCTGATTGTTCTTCAAACATTTCATCTGTCTAGTAGTTTCATTTTAACAATTGATAGCTGTTCCATCGAAACATTTCAAATTTGCGAATGAACTGTATCACTTGGGAATTCATCTCTTACTACCTCCCTTTCTTACTAACAGAAACTTCCAAATATCAATTTTTTTTAAAATAAAAGATGGAAGAATAAGGCAATGAGTCTTAAATTTCTTCTAAACTATTTCATAAATTTTTTGTGGAAATCTAATTCAAATTGGTTGATAAATTTATCATTTATAAGTTTAATCACAAAAAATTTTGTACGCAAAAAGTCTTTTTTTTGAGAAAAATTTCAAAAATGCCTATTTTATTACTATAATAGTCAAGATTTGTATCTTATTTTTAAAAGTTTTTTTTTTCAAAAGAAGTCTTTTGCGCCCATTTGATTAGAATTGATTAATAGATTTATCATTTAAGATTAAGAAGTATGAATAAATCAATTTAAATGAATAACTTTTCATGTCTTACCTACCTCCCAAAAGAATATCCTTAAAAAGAATATGCTTTAAAAAAACTTCAGAATTTTTTGAACAAGAAAATAAGAAATGTTAATTTTGTCAAAGAAAATAACAACAGATTAAATCAAACAAAAGAATTCAGTAAGGTTATACTATTGGTTTGTTGGAAGAATTTCGTGCGGCTTAGGCTTAAATTAAATTTTAAACTTCCGCTCTTTTGAAGTAACATTTCTTTTCTACCACAAAATTTGTGTTGAAAACATACCGAATGATAACTTATAGAGAAATGTCTGCTAACATTAATTATTTGATTTGCATAAAATTTCATCCCTTTACAGAAAATTATCCCAATGAAAAGATATTTGACAATAATATAGGAAACTAGACAGGTATGTCGACTATAATACAGGCTATAGGAACAGAAGTCGACACTAACAAAGATTTTGAAATTTCAAGACTTAAATGTTTTGAAACCATATCGTTCCCTGTAGTTTACAATTAAGGAAATTTTAGAAAAACGTTTTCATTAAACAACAAATTCCAAAAACTTAACTTTAACAAATCATACGGTCATTGTTAAATTAAAAAACCGTCTACTTATTCTTTCAATCAACTAAAAATTCCGTTAATCAAATTCCTTTTGTCTGATAAAAACGTTATGTTGATGATTAGCAACAATGAAATGCATTATCACATTATCATATAAGGACTTAAATTACAGATAAGCCATATAGTCGTACATTGCTTACTCATTTTTCAACTAATTAAGAATTTAGAATCTATTGTGGGAATGCTTCTCGGAATTTCCAAGATAAAATATCATTAAAATTATCACTAATCTCTTATTAACATTAGCTTCCTATCAATACGAAATATCCAATAAAGATGGCTAAACTATTGCATCAAATTAATGAAATATTTCTGTAGTAAACTTATCAATTGATAATATTTAGCAGGAATTTGGCATAAAAATATGCTTTAGAAATAATAAAAGGAAAAAGTGAATGAAAATGAAAGGAAACAATG